TTTTTTTTTAAAAAAAAATTACAGCGAAGAAAAAGGATTTTAGCAATGGCTACATATGCAAAATTCCCATGCCTATCATAACTACTGCAGACAAATCTGCCTGTATTGTATCTGTTTGCATAAATCATCCGGAAAATGTTCCCAGATGCACCATCAAATAGAAAATTTTAATTACAAGCTAACTTTTGACACCTTTATTCGTCTCCTTTTCTCACCAAGAGTCTCATCTCAGTTCCCCCAGAAAACTGCCTCTGTTTCCAAAATGTAGAAATTAGAAGCACATACACTTTGGGGATTTCTTCTCCAGTGCTACCTTTGAATATATTCATGCTCTTATATAGAGATTCCTTTTCCACATGTGTGACCCGATTCATCAATTAAAAAAAAATTGTGTCACGCCTAACAACTGGTTTGTGAATGAATGAATGTACGTTTAGATGGTTTCACTTTTTACCTCTTTCCCTTCACTACCACCATGGGTGCAGTGGTGGGATTCAAATATGGGAACAATCGGTTCTCTGTGTGGATGCCGCTTCCAGAAGTCCATTCTGGGTCTGGGCAGTAAAAAATTAGCTATCAGTTCTGACGAAATGGTGCGAACCGGCTGAATCCCACCACTGCATGGGTGGTCTATATACTGTCTCAGGATAATACGCTTTATACAACAGAAATAAACCAATAACTCTGTTTTTAAATACTTCTACGCATGTTTGGCTGCATGGAAACTTAAAGAATCTCAGTTCACAATAAAAAAAATAGAATCTTCAGACAGGACACAATAAGCTTTGGTCTTCTACATTTTAGAATATATTTGCAGATTTTAGAAATACTTTTAAAATGTCTACCGAAAAAGATGGCAGTTTAGCTTAATAATAGTAATAGTAGTAGTAAAGTTGGAAGGGACCTTGGAGGTCATCTAGTCCAACCCGCTGCTCAGGCAGGAAACCCTACACCATTTCGGACAAATGGCTGTCCAGTCTCTTCTTAAAAACGTCCAGTGTTGGAGCATTTACTGCTTCTGGAGGCAGGCTGTTCCACTGATTAATTGTTCTCACTGTCAGGAAGTTTCTCCTTAGTCCTAGGTTGCTTCTCTCCCTGTGCTGATTACGTTCATATTCAGCTTTGTGCTGATCACATTCATATTCTGGAAATCCTAAAGGAAGATTGGACTAAGTTCTGTGGTTTCCTTTACAGCGGTGTTTCCCAAACTTGACAATTTTAAGGCATGTGGACTTCAACTCCCAGAATTCCACAGCCAGCGTTGCTGGCTGTGGAATTCTGGGAGTTGAAGTCCTCATGCCTTAAAATTGTCAAGTTTGGGAAACACTGCTTTACAGCACATTCCCATCAAAGTTGGGAAGCATCTTGTCTTCTTTAGAAGAAAATATTTTTCTTTGTGTAGAAAAAAAAAACAACCCAGTACTTTAGGGGATATATGTAGAGCCCATTCATTCCATAGTTTCTTTTGTACAGTTTCGTTAAACAGTTGCTTTTAGTTTTGAGGGATTATTTTCAACCTCAGACAGAAAGGACACATGTACAGCGTCCTATCTTCCCGTAGCTTTGAAGTCCTTGAAAATCTGCAGCTTGTGTGCAGCTTGCCAGACTTTAACCAAACACTTAGGTGTTTTCTTTTATGCTACACATCAACACTATGGGAAAATGTGTGTAGGGGGTATTCTTTTGTAACTACACTGAAGTAAGTGGGCATTAGTGGAATTGTAAAACCTCAAATATCTACTTTTCCTTGAGCTGTGCTATAACATTCCAGACTGCAGGAAAGAATGCTCACAGAATGGAAATGTATCTTCCTATTAAAAAAACAAAACTTTCACCTGGGTACCTAGCATGTCAGGAAGGAAAGCAGGGGAAAAAAAACCCTTCTCCTGTACAACAGTGACAATGCTAGTTGTCCTTGTGAATTAATGCTTATGTTATAACAGCAATATTCAAAAATCACAGTCCCCAACTACAGTTTGAAATCAGACACATGGTGTGAGCTAGGGAAAAAGGAGCATTATGTATAACTGAAGCATTTCTCTTAAGGGGGATTTGAGGTTTGAGTTTAATAAATAACATCAAAAATAATCCGGACACCCTCCCCTTGTTAGTAATTAAGAGAAGGAAGGAAGGAAGGAAGGAAGGAAGGAAGGAAGGAAGGAAGGAAGGAAGGAAGGAAACACAATGTAGCCCATTCTGTCTAAAATAATTAAAATATTAGGATAAATACTTGGACTTATGCAATCTGCAGTTTTTTACAGCTAAGGAACATTTACATTCCTTTTGGCTGATGACCTAGCCTTATACTGCATTCTAAGGATACGTTCCTTCTTTTACTGTCCAATTTATTGTTATAACCTAACGGCAAAGGACCAAAGCAGAAATAAGTAGAGGTGAAAGGACTTGGCCCTGCTACTGTGGTATCTCTACAGCATCTACATTGTTTATCTCTCCCTCACTCGCCTCACCCCCTCTCCTCCTTTGCGCTGTTCCTCCCCTCCTCCTTCAGTATTAGCAATCTGCTTTGGTACTTTGACATCAGGGGTATCCCTGGTGAATTTTGTCACAGAAAAAAGAGAATCATCAATATCGCAGTTAAACTTGACTTTCAAAGCTAAAAGTATCTCATTTGGGGGCTCAAATTTAATAAATTTTCTTTGATTCCGGGTGCGTTTTTAAACATCAAACAATGAATTGGCCAGGGTGCAGTAAAATATTTAGATCTATTGACTATGGTTCAGAAGGGTAGAAGGCAAAACACTGGTGGTTTGATGTTGATAAATTCTTAGAACCTTAATCCACATTAACGTTTTCTTTTATCTGGGTGCACACTGGCTACAATGAGAAAATGAAAAGCTAACATATATAGTCTATAACAATTCAAGTGCGATAATGCATTATTATAGATACAGTAAAATGACATTTGTAGTACATTAGACGACTATCTGGACAAAATTATATATATCGTAGGAGGCCCAAGAGATGTTTTTTGTTCTTCTAGACTCTAGACTCTCTACTCTGAACCTGCAGATAGAAATGTGTGAAAGGCCCACATCATTATAAAAATTGCATTATAGTGCATACTTTGCCAGTTTAGAGGTATTGACAGGAATTCTTTACCTCAACCAGGGAAATGTAAGACTCCCTATTCCCATAGACTAGGGTGCAGGGTATGTAGATCTCCAGCATTTCACTTAGCATTTGAACATATCTTCAGGAATGAAATACACACACACACACACACACACACAGAGAGGGGGGGAGAGAGGGGGGGGGGGAGAGAGAGAGAGAGAGAGAGAGAGAGAGAGAAGTAAAAATAATTATAAAAGGAGTGCTTTCTTAAACATCTTCATGACTTACAAGGAAAAATATAGGTACATTAATACAGTAGGTTCTTATAAACGTGGAATGCAGCAGTCGTTTTTCGACTGTGTTAATGTTTACGTAGTAAACTGTTGCATCAATTACTAGCAGGGCAGTAGAACGTGGCTGGGACAATTTATATGTCTGTTTCTATTCTAAAACAATTCTGCTGCATATTGCCTCTGAGATACAGGATAGTACAGTTCAGTTAATTGCTGCAGTGTTAAGAGTTTGCAAACTAAGAAGACAAAAATCACGTGTGCATCAACTGACTTTCTCCCTAATAAAATGAAAAGATAACATGTACGTATAACACAGCACTATCTGTTTGGAAGGAAGCCTTGTTATTTGTGTTCCAAAGTCATCATAAATTATGACTCTCTGAATCTTTTGTCCTTTTCTCTTCAAGGATGATGGAGATGAGAAATTTCCATATTTCTGTGTCCATTTTTAAAAACTTTGTGTAGTTTTATTAAAATCTACTTAATTTCAATGATTAGTTCAAAGCACACTAATTAACTTTGGGCAATAATGCTGCTTTTTTAATGTTGAGATAATCTGTTTAATCTATAGTTTAGAATTCACATGTAGTACTGACACTTGTTATTTACAAGTAGAAATAAATGTTTTCAGTTTTCTGGCTGCTGGAGATAAGCCTACTTAAGCCAAGATGTGGGTGGATTTTTTTTTCTGGTATTACTGGAAAATCTTCTGTGATATTCAGCACCCTATCTAATAGACTTATTCTCTAGTATTTATGCATAGAATCTGATCTTGTATAGGTAGAAACTAGCAATAATCAAAAACTATAAATACTGCCCTTTGTATTTTTATAGATGAGTGAAGGTATTGCTCACCTTAACAGAAGGTGGCAGTACAATACCAATTGCATAAGATTGTAGTTGTCCACATGAGTACATGGATCACTCTCATTTACGGCGCTCTGTGTTTTGTTGTTTCTAAAACACTGAAATATTTTAAAACCCAATTACTTGGCATTGGGAAAAAAATATGAATTTTCTTTTTCTCTCTTTCAGAATTTTTTTTTTTATTTGTCCCGGTTAAAATACTTGTTATTTGAACTTAGTGTTTCCACTGACACTTACGACTACTCCTTATTAGCTGTTATGCAACTGGATTCTTAGAAATATTTCCATTATCTAATCTGATTTTGCCACATCACAGTTTCATTAACTTAAAAGTGTTTTCTTTGATGAAAATAAGATATTTATGTGAACGTGAGAACTTTTTTTTTAAAAAAGAGAGAGGTTCACTGGTGGCATGTTTGCAGAAATTAATGTGATGAGAGTGTCCATCTTACTGGGCATCTGAACGTCTTAAATCTAGACCCCGTAGAGTTGTGTGCTGCCCCACTTGAAGGAGGAGCCTTAAGTGACTTTCTTTCCTATCTCATTTCAGTTTAGAAAGGAGGAAGCTTTTTCTTCTTAACATTCTCTCCCAGCACTCTGAATTAGAGATTTATTTGCAACGAAAAATCAATTAGTCCTAAATTTATTCATGGATTTCAGGTCCAGCGATCAATGCAAGTCCACTCAGTGGACTCAAGGGGACCCACTTCATCCCAGTTAATGTGTCTGAAGGGGAATTACCATTGATACTGTTTTCCCCCCTTTTAGGTCAGAGATCAGATCTCGCTGTCATGGACTACAGCAAGCAGGAATGACTTCGCCCTGCAGCTGCCTAAGCTGCACCTGGAGACGTTTGCAATGGAAGGGCTGAAAGGCAGGCCAGAGGTTACAGCATTCCAGGTCAGAGTCTTCCGTAACCTTTCTTCACCACCAACTGTCCCAAAGCATTAACCCAAACCATGCTAGAAATAAAGGTTTCCATAAGGTATCTGTCAGAGATTGAGAAATGTGGTTTCTAACTACTGCTTAAACCAAATCATTTTGTTAGAAATATATATATATATATATATATACACACACACACATACATGCATACATATACATTTTTGTGTTCTAAACAGACTATTCAGGTACCGAGGAAATGATTCAGCAAAGAAAAGTATGCATACTATATATTCAAGGGTGACTACAAGGAAAAGAGTCTGGCTTAGACTCTTTTTTTTTTGGAAGAATAAATCCAAAAATATTCCAAGGGAGTGAGAAATAGAAACAAGTTGCTCTTATCAATGTCACAGGTTGTCATCGGCATTGTGTCACGTAAGAGAAATAAAATGAGTGTGAGGTGCATCACAGTGACTGATCGTTAACGCCAACTAGAGTTGTTCAACTGCTGACAAAGATTCTAGTGTTTTTTTAAAAAAATCTTTTTAGGTGCTTTCTGAATAACACTTTCTGTCACTGACTGATGATAGAATGGATGTGAGTGCCAAAGTGTTTAATCAGAAAATAGTGCTCCTTAAAATGCAACTTCCTTCTTCTTTTCCTGTTTATTCAAAATGACCTAAGAGAAAGTATTTGCGTGAACGGATTTATCCTTCCATAGGCATAGTTCTGTTGTTACTAAAGCTAAGTTAATAAAACTCTGCATTTTGTGCCCAAGCAAACAAACATCTTTTCTGTGGGCATCAGTGGGGTTGGTTGGGATGGGATGATTTGTGAAAGGATTCATCTTTCTATAAGCATTGTACTAAAACTGTTACTAAAACTAAGTTAATAAAACTCGGGCATTTTGTACCTGAGCAAACATCTTTTCTGTGGGTATCGGTGGGGTGGAGGTAGGATATCATGGCAGATGTGTCATGGCATTATTGTGAAATGATCTGAATAACACAGTCCACACCATTTGTACAATTATATCCCAATGTGAAGTTGTCCTTACTTGTTCTACATGCCTATGTCCATTTGCTACACGAATTGTGGTTACAGCAGAAAAACAATACGGCAAAAAATATTCCTTTGGGAAGAGGCCTAGTGTGACATTTCTTGGATAATACCGGAATATTTAGATTTATCTTTTAAGTGGTTACCATCAATTGAGACCCAAACTAGGTCTGAAACAAGTTATCCGCAACAGGTTATTTCTTTTTAAAATGAAATAATCCATTAAAATTCAGACGTAGGAAGAAAGGAACAAACACCATCCAACTAATATAGGAGAATCACACCTGTCCTGGGTCTGCTTTTTAGCTCTGTTTTTTTTAAAAAAAAATACGTTTGTACCAACTTCTAATCATGTATTTATTTGGAGGTGGAGGCAGTTTCCTTTCTGCTAGCACAGTGTTTCTCATCCTTGACAATTTTAAGGCATGTGGACTTCAACTCCCAGAATTCTACAGCCAGCATTGCTGGCTGTGGAATTCTGGGAGTTGAAGTCCACATGCCTTAAAATTGTCAAGGTTGAGAAACACTGTGCTAGCACATTGGTACAAAGTCTGAATATTTGTTTCACTTCCCAGCAGCTGACTCCATAGATGGCAATGGCCATATTGCTGAAGAATATGTACATTTCTTTTCTGAGGTGACAGCATATATATGGACCCTATTACTTCCGGTATATTTCAAATGTATGTGTATATATGATTGATGTCTAAATTATATAAAGAGGAGAAAACAATCATTACATATTGATTATATTTTGTGCTTGTTATTTTTGTACCATGCATATGTGAACTCCTCACTATCTCATAGCTAGCTTGTTGGGTTGGTTGGTTTGAATTCTACAAAGAACCGAAGGGTAGCATACGTAGAGTTCCCTCCTTCTGTTTTTTCCCTAATGACTATCATGAGGTAAATTAGATTAAAGAATGAGAGACCGTTCCAGTCTTCTTAGTCTTAGGCCAATATCTCTGCTCACATAAGAGCTATTCAATGTATTTGTACATTTAGTTTTTCTGAGATTCATTTTTATTGTTTATTTTATTGCATTTCATTTGTCTTCATGTTCAGAAACAGAATGACCATGGCTAGGCAAAAAAAGCAGCGAGAGTGACTTTTGACTTCGTGTTGATTTGTCCATTGAGTTTTCTTGGCAGGAGCTCGTAAGGAGCCTCAGAAACCAATCTATCAGACTAGAGCTGAAAGGGACCTTGGAGGTCTTCTAGTCCAACCCCCTGCTCAAGCAGGAGACCCTATACCAGTGGTTATCAACCTTTTTAATGCCACGACCCCCAACCGGTCGTAAGTCGAGGACTACTCAACCGGTCGTAAGTCGAGGATTACTCAACTGTTGCAGCACCGTTTGCAGAATGGGACTTTTGGCGGGCTCAGCAGGGCAGAGACAGCCTGGACAATTCCTATTGGCTTTTGAAAGCCAATAGAATTAGACTCTATTCAAGAGAGTCTATTCTATTGGCTTTCAAAAGCCAATAGAATAAAAGGGAGTAGCACAGCTAAGGAAAAGGGGGGGAAAATGGCGGACTGCTTGTTTGGCGACCCCCGTGAAATGGTCGTTCGACCCCAAATGGGGTTCCAACCCACAGGTTGAGAACCACTGCCCTATACCATTTCAGACAGGTGGCTGTTCAGTCTTTTCTTAAAAACTTCCAGTGATGAAGCACCCACAACTTCTGAAGGCAAGCTATTCCACTGGGTAATTGTCCTCACTGTTAGGAAGTTTATCCTTAATTCCAGGTTGCTTTTCTCTTTGATTAGTTTCTTTGTTTTGGAAAATAAGTTGTTCCCCTCTTCTTTGTGGCAGCCCCTCAAATACAGGAATACTGCTATCATGTCACCCTTAGTCCTTCTTTCCTCTAGACTGGCCATGCCCATTTCCTGCAACCATTCTTCATATGTTTTTGCCATGCGGCTCTTTGAGCCTTCCCCTGTGGCTCCCAGCCTCCTCTGCCTTTGCAGAGAGAGACAGAGACAGAGAGAGGCAATTGCGCTTCCCTGCTTCTCTCTCTCTCTCTCTCTCTCTCTCGCTCTCTCTCTCTGTATGTTTGTTTGTGTGTGTAAAAGAGTGCACTCACAGTGTTCTCCAAGGAGCTGAAAAGCTTACTGGGCGGAGCTCCTCCCTTTGCTGCGTCTCTGCAGGAAGCAGGAAGCAGGAAGGGCAGGAGAGAGCTAGCTAGCCCAGCTAGGCTGACTCAGGAATTCTGGGAGTTGAAGTCCATGAGTCATAAAAGAGACGAGGTTGCTTACCCTGAGCTTGTTGGACACAGCTTGAAGCTTGCCAGGTGAGCAGCAGATAGGAGGGGGGGGGGGAGAAAGAGAGAGAGGGGGGGAGGGGGAGAGAGAAAGAGAGGAGAGGAAAGAGAGAGAGAAAGAAAGAGGAGTGGGGGAAGAGGAGTGGCAGACCAAGAGCAGATAGAGAGGGAGGGAGGGAGAAGAGACAGAGAGAGAGAGAGACCCTTTTGACATCTAAAATGAAGATAGCACTGCATATATCCTTTTTTACCTTTGTGTGTATGTAATTTTATGCTCTTAAAGCATTCTCTTGGTGATCATTGTTTTAATAGTATGGATATTCCCAAGAGTCATATTTTTACTTTTATTTTTAATGTGTGTGTGTGTGTGATGTGTGTGTGTGTGTGTATGTGTGTGTGTATATACATATATATATAATATAATTATATATATTATACACACACACACACACACACACACACACACAACATACACCACACACACACACACACACACACACCTATAATAAAGGTAAAAAAGGATATATGCAGTGTTATCTTCATTTTAGATATCAAAAGGGTTTTGCGGCTCCCGGTGTTTTGTTTTTGGTGGGAAACGGGTCCAAGTGGCTCTTTGAGTGTTTTGGGTTGCCTACCCCTGCTCTAGGCCCTTAATCATCTTAGTTGTTCTTCTTTGCACTTTTTCCCAAAGTCTCGCCATCTTTTTTGTAATGTGGTGGACCAAAACTGGATGCAGTATTCAAGGTGTGGTCTTACTAAGGTTTGTAAAGTGGTACCAATACTTCATGTGATTTTGATTCTGTGCTTCTGTTTATACAATCAAGGATTGTGCTAGCTTTTTTGGCTGCTGCTACTCCCTCCCTCCCTCTCTCTCTTCCTCCCTCCCTTCCTATCTATCTGCCTTCCTGCTACCTTCCCTATTTATTTTATGGGAAACTTGTAGGGAGAAAGTCAGTGGGGAAGACAACAGGAGTATGAAAATGCAAAGCCCGCAGGCAGGTTGCTTCTGCTGGGCAGGAGAGGAAGCGAAGGGGTGCGCAGGGCTGCAGTTCAGGAATGCTACTTGGGGGTGAGCAAGAGGTCTGGGTGGTTTGAAAAGAGCACACAAGGGTTGGAGCAGATCAGGAGTGCATGGGGCCATCACGGTGTGTGAGTGGTGCCATGCTGATTGGAAATGATGTTTGCAGAGGTGGCACAGGTTAGATAGGGTGCCTGGGGATTTTGGGAAGTGTGCAAGAGGCGCTGTGTGGGTCTGGGATCACAGTTGAGGTGGCACAGGTTGGGAAGGATATATGGGGGAATTCCGCATTGGTCAGGAAAGGCATGCGGGTTGGGGAGGTGCATGGTTTGAGGAACACACCGGTGGGGGGTGGAACTGTCACATTGAAAATGAAGACCACGTGAATTCAGCAGAGTGCAACAACAGCCAGTAGCATTGAAGCACCCACAGCTTCCCCATATTTCACTGAGTCATTGGCCTCCCTCAACACACATACTTGCTATGGGATTGGACAATAGCAGTACTTTGATTATAAACTATTGCATGACAAATGGTCTCTAAATGGCTAACTACTCGTATGGTCTCACTTAACCTATTTTATATACTATCCATTTTCTTGTCTCATTTGCCCCATACTCCCATTATACTGAGCAAGACTAAAGACCCTTTTGGCATTCCGGATATTATTAATTTAC